GAGAGACAAGTACAGGCTTCCTGATAAGAGTCTCCAGTTATCACTGTTGAACACGTGTGTACCAGGCTCCTAGTCTGTTCCTGAGATACCACCGTGAGCCACACTGATAGGAGGTGTGACCACTTTTGAGCTGCTCCTTCAGTCGTAAAGGAGATGGGCAGTCCCACATGCAGTGGTAAAGGAGTCCCAAGGAGGGAAGGTAGGAAGCAGTAGAGGAGCTAGGGCGGAGAGACAGTACCTCAGTTCTCAGCAGTGGGAGAAAGGCAGAGTTACATTAGAAGGAGGATGAGCACGTAGGCCCCGGAAGCAGGGAGCTGTGTGACCATACAGCCCTTGCAGCCAGTGGTTTCGACTTTGTCCAGAGAGAAATATGGAGCAATTGAAGGTACCAACGTTTTAAAAATTTCATTTCAATGAGCACTAATGTTAAATTTATGTGATACTTCCAGTTGATAATATATTTATCACTACTTATGTTTTCATTATATCTTTTTTAACTTGGTAACTTAAAATTGTGCAAAACATTAAGTTTGTCATTGAAGGGTTTTTACCGAGATGACTCTGGCTGCAGCGTGGTGGGTGGATTAGAAGAGTCCAAGAGATGAGGTGGTGACCATCACCCAGCAGAAGCTGATGGGGCTCTGAGCCAAGATGAAGAAAGGAGGTTCGGGTTTGGGAGCTGTTCAAGAAGTAGAATGAGCAAGTGTGGAGAGAACAAGTCACGCACGGGGCCCAGTGTGTGGCTTGGGAACCCGGGCAGATAAATGGCGGAGCAGTCACTGCTGGGCACTGGAGCAGGAGCAGGTTGGGTACAACAGAGAGAGTTTTGGAAAACGGTGAGGTGCCTGTGCAGTATCTAAGTCAGTGGTCTTGTGGGTCTGAAGCTCTGGAGAGAGGCTGCACTTGGGGTAGAAGGATGGACACTGAAGCCATGGGAGTGCTGGAGGAGCGTAGGAGCATGGTACAGGGGAAGAAGAGGAGAGACTGTTGAAAAGAGTCAGCTAGGCAAAGTGATACATGCCTGTAATCCCAGAAGTCTGGGAGGCTGGGCAGGAGGATCACAAGTTCAAAGCCAGCCTGCTGGGCACCCTAGTAACTTGGCAAGACCCTATCTCAAAATAAAAAATTTTAGAAGGGCTGACGATGTAACTCAGTACAAAGACTCTGGATTTAATCCTCAGTACCATACACACAAGAAAGAAGTAGCTAATGGTGGTCCACAGAGCAACATGAAGCGTGTCCTAGATTTTCACTTTAGCCTGGGGACATAGTAAGTAGAATGAACTGAGTCCTGGCCAGTGGCTTCAACCCTGTGACTCAGGGCACATTTGCACCTAGTGTGAACTTCTGTTTTATCAGTAAAGTGGGTTTAAATACATAGCGTAAAGTGTGAGCTTTTGGGTTGGTGGATGGATATACCTAACCCACTGTTACCCCGGGAGTAGGCTGGACAGTAGCTTGGCACCACTGAGGCTGGAGACTGCCAAGGAGGCCCTCAGGGTGGAAATGTGAGGGTGCAGAAGTAGTCAGCACCCAAATGGGGCTACTTATATCAAAGCCAAAAGAACGGAACCAGGAATGGTCACATACATATTTGCGTGATAGTAGGAACTATCACAAGAGATGGCCAGTTCTACTCTCAACCTTGGAAATATCTTTGCTAACCACAACTTTTCAGTCAGGGTCATTTCTGTGAAGGCAAGTTCCTAGTAACAGCCAATCAGAAGATGTCAGCTCCTTCAGGGGACTTTCTGTGATCAGTGAGTTTTGTTTTAAAACAGCTTACATGGACTTTCTTTTGATTTTTTTAAAAGCTTCCCCTACAGTAACGCACACATGCCTGTGATGTGTGCAGCGCACACACCCTAGATTTGTTATTAGGTTGATACGAGGAAGGCTGTGGGGCCCGTCAGTACAACATCGTCACAAGGCAGAGTGAGTTTTGAGTATCTCCTGGGTCTCCTGCCTGATGCCCAGGATGCCTCGGTGTGGACTGGGGGAGAGGCAGTGTGTGGAGAACTGCTGACCATGCTTCCACTGTGGACCTGTTGAATTTGAGATGCTGTGGTCCCTGAAGGGAAGGCAGAGGTATTGGGAGACAGAGGCGGAGATGTGGGTGTGAAGATGGGGTGTGTGCCAAGTCTGGCACAGCTCTTGAAACTGGAGCGGGATGGTGGAGGATGAAGGAAAAATGAGCCGAGATGCCGAGAGCCGAGGCCAGGTGGAGCCCCCTCTCCTGGGGAGAGAGAGTGTTGCGGCAAAGACGCCTGTTTACTTGTCACCCATAGAGGCTGGATGCAGAGACAAGCAAGTTTATCGGGGGCTGGCCGTGGGCACCCAGTACATGACTGAGCACCGACCCGAAAGGGCAGGAGGGGAGAACAGATAGTTCTAGTTCCGGGTCTAGTGGGTCTGGGGCGGGGAGGTGGCGCTCATATGATTTAGTGCAGCTGCAGAAATACTGCAAAGCATGGGCTTAGCTTGCGACAAAGGAACAAAGGTGTTTGCATTTTACATAGGGGACAAGCAGTCTTATGACAGAACATGGGTGGTATCGGGTTAGGTAACTATGACAACATTTATAAGAAACAAACTTAAGGAAATAGAAACTTTAAGCTTTAAAGTGGCACTAGAGCTGGGCGTGGTGGTGCACGCCTGTAATCCCAGCACTTAGGAGGCTGAGGCAGGAGGATTGTTGTGAGTTCGAGGCCAGCCTAGGCTACAAAGTGAGCTCAACGCTAGCCTGAACTGCATAGGAAGACCCTGTCTCAAAAAG